CATTGTGGGTCACATGACTCTCCCTCTGAGGTAGACCCTGAGACTGCTTTTGGTGTCTCCAGGGCAGAACTTGACTACACTTTGAATATTGTTGAGACTCTTGCCCAGTTACCCCCATCTCCTGTTTTAAATGCTATGACTGAGGTTGATCACCCTCTTACCCCTTCTGATCCATGCTATCATCAGACCTGCTATGTCTGCCACTGACTTGGGCACATCCACATCAACTGTGGACTCTATGAATGTCCCCTTTGCCACACCACTCACCCTGGTCATACCCAGGCCCAATGCCCATTGCTGCACCCTCGTCACACTTTACAAGAAAGAATCTCCACTCCTGGTGTGGTGGATGATTGTACCCTCATTGGGAGTGAGGATGATGGTTTATATGACAGTAACTTTGACTTTGACAATTCTGCCATCAGCAATATGACTGAGGAACCTTACAGAGAGTAAGTTGAAGTCAGAGACTTCAAAGCTTAGTAGGGGGGTAATGTTACGTTTCACCCTTGGTTACTCTTTTCTCCTGACATTTACCTTGTGTTTCTGTCCAACAGATGCCTTTCCTTTTCAAGCTGTCTTCTCCTTGATCTGACAGCTCCTTATTCCCCACCACTAGCATTATCTTCTTGTTACATGTGTAGAACATGTGCCATCATTGCTCAACCAAAGGTGTAGTTACCTTGTTACATGCAGATGCCTCATGGACCACTCCCTGTACTGTATTTAGTCTGTCAGCTCAAGTCCTGGAAACCCAGACTTGAGCTGCTCAATCATATGCAGTGTTCTCAGAACTTTGCCCTCAGTGTCCCTAACCTGGACCACTCTTACCAGCATTGCCCCAAATCCTCTGTCATTTACAGAGGTTACTGCAGCCATTTGCTCAGTAGAAACCATAGTCTGCATTTGAGCTCTCCCTACATCTTGACTTCAGTCAAGTGTAACAAACAAGGTTGCGGCGGTTGCAGAGAAATGCAAGTCATTGTATGTCCTGGACACAACAGTGGTCTCAGGCAGTCACTCTGCTTATATAGTCAGCAACCCAGGAAGACTTGATGCATCAGAACCACTTACAGCCCTTGCAAGCTGTGTTGTCACATCAAAGGCATCTCTCACCACCTGGCACTGCCACCTTGGACATTTGAACATCAGGAATGTACTGAAATTGCTGGATAAGGATATGGTTGCTGGGATGGAGATAGCAGGACCTCACAGTCATGAGACCCATAGCTGCAAGGGTTGTCTCAAAGGGAAGCAACATCAGAATCCTATACCACAAAGGTCAGATGTGGAGAACCCAAAGGTTCTGCATCAGATGTACTCAGATGTCTGTGGTCCAATGGAAACTCTTGCACATACCAGACACAGGTACTTCATAACTTTCATTGATGGGAGGTCACACCATCTTGTGGTCAAACTACTGAAGTCAAAGGATGAGGTCCTCAGAATGACCAAAGAATACTTTGCATGAGCTGAAGCCAAAACCAGGAAGAAGGCAAACTACCTTCAGACAGATGGTGGAGGCAAGTATTGCTCATGAGAGTTTGATGCCTACTTGAAGTCAAAAGGAGTGCATCACAAAAAAACCAATGCATACACACCTCAGGAAAATGGAGTGTTGGAGTGCATGAACTGTACCTTGGTTGAATGTGCAAGGGCCATGCTAAGTGGTGCTGGACTCTCCAACAAGTATTGGGGAGATGCTATACTACATGCAACCCATATTCTAAACTGACTGCCTACACAAGCTATCCAACAGCAAGTAACTCCATATGAGGCCTACACCAGAAATAAACCAACCATCGCCCATTTGCAGGTCTTTGGATGTGTTGCCCATGTTCATGTTCCAGAGGAAAAATGTCAGAAACTTGATGCAAAATTGCTTGAATGTACTCACCTTGGGTTCATAGAAAATTGCAAGGCCTATGTGTGCCTGCACTGAGCAAGCAGTCAAATTGTCAAGTCTTGGAATATTGTGTTTGATGAGGGTGATGGTGAACAGCCTACTTGTGTCACATTTGGTCAGAGTGAGCTGGTAGCAAAGGGAATGGTGCAGTCAGTCAAAAATGTGCAGACAACTGGTGGGCAAGTGCAACTTACCACACAAGAGGACAAGGGAGGCTCAGACAAGGTGGGGGAAGTGACAGATTGACCCCAAGTTGAGTCTACAGGTCCAGCATGGCAGTCTGATGCCACAGGGAGCCAGGGAGGTGCTTCAATGGGTCGCAATCAAGGATGATCAATGCTCAAGCCCACAGAGGCTGAAAAGGAGCCAAGTCAGGCAGATGAGCAAAGTTCTGGGGTAGAAATGCCTAGAACTCACCCAGAAATCTTCCAGAGGGTGAATCAAACAATGGTGAGACATCCTATGATGTCCAGAGGTCCTCCAGTGTCATATCCACAGCCAGTACCACCTGCTGAGGTCAGGAGATCCTCTGGGGCCAGAAAGGCTCCAGTTCAAGATGATGACCCAAGATATTTTGTCAATGCTTACCAGAGGTTGATGCTGATGAGGGAAAGGGGCCAGGGGAATGCCAAGAGAGATGATGGAAGGGCAGAGGTTCATGGTGGGGGTGTGGCTGAGCATGAGGTTGAGGTGTGGCAGTCAGGTGAAAGCACTGACTCAAATCAACAAGACCACACAGCTTACCAAGCAAGTTCTGCATGCGACAACAAGCCTACAACATTTGAGGATGCTGTAAATTGCCCTGATGGCAGTTGTTGGTATGCAGCAATGGTAGACAAGCTGAATATGTTTCAGAAGCTTGGGCTGTATGAGGTGGTTAAATGGCCCTCAGATCAATAGATCATTGATTCAAAATGGGTATACAAAGTAAAGCAAGGACCAACAGGCAACATCAAGAAGTACAAGGTGTGTCTCACTGCTAGGGGGTTCACTCAAGTTCACAGAGTGGACTATACTGATATGTTTGCCCCTGCTGCAAAGTTTACTACTATTCAAATCTTGCTCACTCTCACAGCCAAGTATGACCTTGAGTTACACCAAATGGATGTCAAGTCAGCCTTCCTGAATGGACAACTGGATGAAGAAGTCTTCCTTCAACCTCCTCCCAGGTTCTGTACATCTGCAGATGTAGTTTGGCACCTTCATTGTGCTCTTTATGGCCTAAAAAAAGCTCTGAAGGCTTGGTATACCTGCTTGAGGGAAGTTTTTGAAGCCCTAGGCTTTGTGTGCAGCAATGCAGACCACAGTTTGTTCTACAAATTTGAAAGTGGAGTTCTGATTATAGTCACTGTCTATGTGGATGATAAACTCATCTTGTCAAAGAGTTGTGATGCTATTGACCAGCTCAAGACTCAGCTCTCCTTGGAGTATGACCTATCAGATTTAGGTGAGGCACAATGGATCTTAGGAATGAAGATCATCCAAGACTGTGATAAAGGAGAAATCAAGCTCTCACAGGAAAGATATGTTGAGTCTATACTCTGGTGCTTCAGGTTGCAGGATATGCACCCTGTGGGTACACCTATTGAACCCAGTCTCAAACTCAAGAAACTTGATCAGGCCAAGTCAGATGTTGCACACTATCAGAGTGCTCTCAGAGCCCTGATGTATGCTTTGTTGGCTACTTGCCCTGATCTGGCCTATGCAGTGGGCATCCTTAGTAGGCATGCAGCAACTATGGGTGAGTGCCACTGGGTGGCCCTCAAAAGAGTCTACCACTACCTTCAAGGGACTGCTACCTTGCATCTCTGCTATTCTGTGGCATCAGGACCCACTCCAGCTGGGTATGCTGATGCAGACTGGGCATCTGATGTAAATGATCAACATTCTATCACTGGCTATGCTTTCATCCTATGTGGTGGTGCAGTGAGCTGGTCATTGAAGAAGCAAACCTCTGTTGTTCTTTCAAGCACTGAGGCCAAGTATATGGCTGTTTTGGCAACCACAAAAGAAGCTATTTGGATCCACACACTGCTTGGTGAAATAGACATGGCTGTGTGAGCTGACCTCACCCCTCTCCATGTCAACAATCAATCAGCAATTTCATTTTTGAAAAATGTGATGTTTCATGACCATATGAAACACATTTCCATTCACCATCACTTCATTCAAGAGAAGATCAAGTCAGGGGACATCTCCACAGTGTACTTGCATACAAATGAGCAGCTGGTGGACATCTTAACCAAAGGACTCTCTAGAGATAAGCACACTCATTTTTCTATTGGCTTAGGTGTTACTTATTGAGATATTCACCATTGAGTGGGCATGTTGATGCACATTAATTATATTTCTTACACCAGTAATGTCTTACATAAGCACAGTCATTTTGGCACATTGTTTTTTCCTTTGCACACCTCAGTCTTCTCCCAATAGAAGCCTGAGGCGAGGTTCCTTTATTATGAGTTACAGCTATCTTACTGAAGCTATTTAGTATCTTCTCTTGTTAGTCTGTCACTACTCAGAAACACCCCTTCAGAACCATGGGCAATCCCAGATCTCACACTCATGATGGCCCTTTGAATTATCATGACCTCCCTTGTCTTGGATTTTGATTCTCATGCAGTATGCCCAGGAATGCCAACTTTCATGCTCATAAGAATTATTCTGTGTACACTTAAACTAGATGCTTGACTCATTTTTTGGGCAGGCAACTCAGTGACTTGGTCTGTGGTGCAGCAACTTTGGCTCTACTGCCATCACACTTGTTGCTCATTTTCTTGTGTCAGATCTGGATGATGATGCATGGTCCACCACTGCTGTCAGGCAAACTTGCAATGAACTCATAGATGGACTGCTTTCCTTCCTATATCAAGACCTCAATGCAACAAACCCAGCACATGCTTATTGATCACACTTCATTCTGCAACTCTTTGTACACACCCATCCTTGGCCTTGTATTGGATGCCCTGACATTCCAGGACTGGGCACAAATGTGATGAAGAAACTTGCTGTCAGAGGGGCACTTTCCCTTTGCATTTCTGCAGTATGTATCTCTTCATCAGTCATTGAACTGCAGTTGTAACTGTTACTTTAGCTTGAGCATGCCATTTGGCTATTCCAAATGGGGGAGGTGCAAGTTGATGATCAAATGAGTACCCATGGTATGAGCACAACAACAAAAACTCCACTCAAGCTCAACAAGGTGTCTGGGAAGGAGTCATCAAGTGTGCTGGCATTCTCTGAGCAGAATTTGGGCACCAGAACTCACAACCATCACACATCCATTTCTAAAGGCAATAACACTGTGCTGAGTGAGATTGTTCCTATGGCTCATACCCTCATTATCCCCTCCATGGAGACATTGGATGATGGCAGGTTTCCAGGTGACCCAATGGATGAGCTTTATTTTGCTATTAATACTGATTTACATCAAAGCATCTGTAAGATCTTGTGTGTGATATGAGTATCTCACCAACTAGTTGACAGGGTGGACTTGGCTGGATGTCCCCTCATCATAATCCCTACATTGCATAGCACATAAATATTTCATACAGATATCACATACTCTATCCAACCCCTCCTTCAAACACTTGGATGCCCATTAATATGAACATTTAATCATCATTCTTTCCACTGCTTCAAGTCTGATCCCCTCTGTGAGTCAAAGTGTGGAAAGGTGGCAGAAACCAACCAAGACCAATACCAAAGACAACAAAGAGCAAGTGGTGGTTTATCTCCACAGAACCTGGAGGGCAGAAAAATCTAAAGCAGAGGAATTTCAATGGCAGGTGCTCCTAGTGCAAGTCATCAATGAGTTGTGCAGGAGTAGAGAAGTGAGTGATGACTGGATAGGGGATGCTGAATAGAGTGAAGGTATTCAGCCAAAAGGACTCCTGGTGCAAGTCAATGTCAAGTTATGCAGGAGTGAATGGATGACTAAGCACAGATGATAATGCAGATAATGAATGTTGGTAAATAGGCCCTTGATGGAGCCTCAGATACCACAGAAGATGAGTGATGACAGATAGACCCCTTTGTGGAGCCTCAACTGTCAATGACAAGTTATGTCTGAGGTGAGCTGAACCTGGTCTTGAGTGACTTCTGATTGCTTGTGTTGTAGCTAAGTACAGGGGATTTATATACTGCAGGGGGAGCACAGCCCATGACAAACAAGGCACAAATGCTTGGTAAGTAATGAGTAAGGACTGTAAGCAATGAGTAATCATGATGAGTAAGTGAGGAATGAAAAGTAAGCAGGCAAAGAGGATTGGTAAGTATTAGCAATGAACAAGTCAAGGACAGTCAAAATATCACAGAATGAGTGAAATAATGTCAGAAACTGAGTAAGTGCACTGGTATCACATTAGGGGGTGGCAATGCAAGTCAGATCTTGGTGGAGATGTCACTGGACCAAAAGATTGGATGACAGATGGACAGTGTTTCCAGATGGGGAAGTATTAATTCCAGAAATGGAGGGCATGAGTCAGGCATCAAAGGGCTAGGGTGTTGGGGATCTGTGGGGTAATGGAAGCATAGGCAATCATGTATCCCACCCATTCATCCTCTCAGTGAGGTCAATAAATGCTTCATGAACAGGGCTCTGATGGGGGAGAGGGAGAAGGGGGGACATCTTCTGCTGGGTCTTGCAGTAAAAAGGCAAGATGCATGTCATACTCATCATGGATGCAATCAGGGAGGCTGGAGAACAATAGATTATGTATACTGCAGCTGTCACAATGTGGGGAGAGTGATGGACAAGATTGGAATAAAGACAGTGCAGCAAGCAGGGAGGAAGGATCCATATGCTTCATCAAGTGGGGAGACTGAAACAACCACATAAGACCTTTGTAACCAAGTGACAGACCTGAGGTGACCAAAGAATGTCCTTCTGGAAGTCATACTGACAAGGAGAATACACTGACCAAGCTGCATGGGATGGGATGGGGCTGATGACAATGGAATGAACCAGGGGGCTTCAGGATGGAAGCTGGTGGGAACACCTGGCAGATATATGTAGCCACTGTCCCTGGAAAAAGAGACAAGTGAGATGATTGATGAAGAGGCAGCCATATCTGATGAACTTAGCAAAATGAGCATCTGATGGATGGAGTACTGCAGAAATGCATAGGGTGCAAGGATCCTTTCAAAAATTGGAAGGCAGGATGGCATGGCTGAGCACTTTAAGCAAGTGTGAGAGTGGAGTCAATATCCTTGGAAATGGTGGAGATACAATGAAACCTGGAATGCCATACACAGGCACTAAAAACCTTTGATGTGTGCTTAACTTGCTTCCTCTTTTCTCTTTAGCACTGATGACTCATTCTTGTGCAAAGGATGACTGCTCATGTCCAGCAGTCCTTCTATGCATGAGGGCTTTAGTCTTCATCTGCATGGCATGGTGCACAACTTGTCAACAAGTTATGCAGAGTCAGCTGTAACCATGTCCACAACACCTTTGGTGTGTGACACCAGGAATCCAGACTCATCCTTGGCCTCATTCAGAAGAAGAAAAAACTCCTAGAGGGGTTTCCCCCAAGGTTCTGGAATTCTTTGCTCACATGATTGCAACTTTCTGACCTAGACCATGATATTGACAAACCATGGGAATTTGGTATGGTCTGCAAACATGCCAACTATCTCCTCAGTGGAGCCAAATGGAACCTCCCTCAGCCAGACTTGTTGGCACTGTCTCTCCAGAATTCCACACCAACTTCCTTGTTGACTGTTCTGACTATCTTGAAATGGGAGTATGTCCAGGTCACTCAACAACCAGTCTCTGCCTTGCTTCCTCAACAAGGTCATGAAGGCCAATTCTGCCATTCTTTTGATCTGTAGTGTTTCTTCTGTGGGGGAACCAATGGCCACTGTACTGCCAAGTGCATGCTATGCCACAAATATGTACAAGCTGGGAAATGCTCCCTGATTGGGGGAAGAGTTTTTATGCCAGATGGTTCTGACATTCCTAGGGCAGCTGTGGGTCAGAATTTTAAAGAAAAGATTGACAACTTTCTTGCCATGCACAACTGGATCATTGCATCAGAAAATCTCATCTCCATTCAGCAGCCCAGCCAGTAGTCAACCTCATCTCATGGATGCAATACTCCTCCCCATCCCATCAGCACAATGTTCTTCAGCAACAAAGAAGCCTCAGAATTCCAAGTCAACTTACATCCTTCCTCCTATCTAGTCAATGAAGATCTTGAGGAGAATGCTGACAAAGAGGACCAACATGCCTTAGCAAGAGCTTACAGTGACTCCAAAAACCCTTTCAATGTTTGCTCTAAATGGAGTGTGTGAAGTGTAGTGCAAAAGGGGGTGGGAATTTCACTTTGCATCTCTAGGACCATACCTAGTACTTGCTCTTGGCTACAGAATGGTACCTTTTTCATGTGATTTGACTGACAGGCAGTGGAGATATCATTGATTTAAAACTGCAATACCATTGAAAGGGTTTTTTCACTTTTGAATTGAAAAGGGTATTTGGAGAACCAGAAGCTGAGATCTCAAGAGGGATGGGAAAATATGATTACATAATAAACCACATGATCTTCCAGATGATTTGTCATTGTGTAAACAATGATAAACATTGGATTCTGATAAGCCATCCTCTTTTACCACAACTCAAGAAATTATCTCTCTGGCTCACATGGTCATTCTCTCAGGGAAATCTTATCAAATACTGGTTGCCACTACAGTACCATCTGTATAATATGCTCTTAGAACCATGAGTCCCTTAAAGAACCTGCTCTCAGTCATTCACTGCACTGTTTCCCCACCCATGCCTGATGTATTCTGGGACTAATCAATGCTTGGAAGGCTGAAAATGTTATGGAGGTCAATCTGGCACTTCTGAACATGATGGGCAAGCCAATCCCTTCTCAACCAATGCATTTCTGGCCCAGGGACACTGGTATGGAGGTTAGGGAAAGACAAAAATCCTCTTTATTATGTAATCATATTTTCCCATCCCTCTTGAGATCTCAGCTTCTGGTTCTCCAAATACCCTTTTCAATTCAAAAGTGAAAAAACCCTTTCAATGGTATTGCAGTTTTAAATCAATGATATCTCCACTGCCTGTCAGTCAAATCACATGAAAAAGGTACCATTCTGTAGCCAAGAGCAAGTACTAGATATGGTCCTAGAGATGCAAAATGAAATTCCCACCCCCTTTTGCACTACACTTCATACACTCCATTTAGAGCAAACATTGAAAGGGTTTTTGGAGTCACTGTATGTGCAGGTGGAAGAGTTGAAGAATGCTATCAAGAAAAAGAAGATGGCTCACTTCAATGGTGTAGAAATCCTGGCTCATTGCCAAAGATCTCCAGTAGCAGTCCCTGCATCATCCAGCATGCCAGCTGCCTCTAACCCAGTCAGTAATTCTGCTCCAGCTAATTCCACTTCTTCATCAGAAAATTCCACACCTCAATTCCATTACCAAAGCAGCTTTGATGAGGCTGCAGCAACCAAGCAGATCATAAACTAGGTCTTGGATGTGAAGATGGAAATCTCCACTAAAGATCTTCTAGCTGTCAGTCCAGAGTTTTGCAAGCAGGTCAGAGAGCTCACCATAACAAAGAAGATAACAACTGGGAGTTTAGAAACCTGGGTGTCCTATGACCAGTACTGGGTCAGGGACACTGAAGGGAAGTGCATGGGCCTCACTACAGCTCCCTTGTGCACTGTCACAAGCATCGGTGACTCAGGGCAGCTGTGGGTCTCAGGAATCATGGACATGCCACATAAAGAGACAAGAAAGACCACAAGGATGGTCAGAGAGTTTGTCCTGGAGCTCTCGCATAGTCTCTGCTTTGTCAGAGAGTGTAGGCAGCAGCACCTGTCATAACACTGATTGTAGATAAACATTAGTGCACAGTTGGTTCAAATCAGCTGGACTGACTGGATGGAGACGATGACCACATTGACACGTCGTCTTGGAGGACAAAGATAGAGTACAACAAGTCACTTGGGCAATGTTTTGGCCTGAAGTTAATAAAATAATGTCGCAGAATGAAACAGACGCCTGCCAGTGCCAGGCCTCACTGGACTGCGAGGGGATGCGGGGTGGGTACCACTCCAGTCACACGTGACCTCTGGCGGGCAGTGTGGCGGCCCTAGACGAGTGTAGACTCAGCTCGCGGGCGGTCTGCATGGCCATAGACCACTTTGGATTCACCTGATCACTCCACAACACACGCGTCAGATGCTGCGGACACAGCAGCTTCATTGTAGCTTTCCTGATACCACTGCTAATGCACAACCTTTGTCGCTGTTCCCTTGTTTTTGTCTCACGTCCGCCGCGGTGTCGCAGTACATACTCATTCCAAGCTCGTCTAACAGCATGTATAATGCCGCTCGCCACGTAGCATTCTCTGAATCCAACTATACGACCCTCGAATACTTCTTATAATCATATGAATACCAGTAGTTAACAATCATTTTTGCAGATACAACTCTCAAGGGACATACATGTCCACACGAGAAATGCATCACGAAATTCTATTCAGAAGAGGTTGCCCAAATCCTTATTGCAGAGTCGTGATGGACCCTAACAGTCGGGGTGTTGATTTTTTCAATGAAATCCGTTGAGGTATGGCTGACTGTAACCCTCTGGTAGAAGTTCTGGGGCGCACAAAGTGCCCCGCTCACTAACAATATGACCTTAACGGCCGCTAGTGAGGTGAAGGTCGCGAAATGACTCACATCCGGTCAATAGCAATCAGCAGATCATAATTAATCTCCTGGCTGACAACCGAATCAAACTTATATGCCGGATGCGACCTCACAAAACTTCGTATCCATGTAGCGGGCGTTTGCAATGTACCTTTGTGGACATCAGCCACCACTAGAACCAATCTAACAGAGGGCCACAGACCATCGGCACGGCCACGAACGAGGTCAAGATATTTGTCAATTTTCTTTCTTTCAGCTGGAGTCAGTTCCAGTGTGCCGAGATAAGCATCCACAAGTCCCAACAACCCTGGAAACGTAGGCCCCTAAACCAAGTCAATGCGTTCCTTCCCCGCGGATGGTCGGCCAAAGAATACCTTTCCACAAAAAATTTCTTTGATAGACATCTCCTCATATTCATCTTCAACCGAGCCATCGTCAGTGGTTGGAGGACGTGCGAGCGTTGGGAAGCAGTTCCTTAGTTTTCGTTCTTTCATTTGTGTGGCCATACCACAATCACCGCACTCGCTAGGGATAGATGACCCGGATGGAGATAAGCCGGCAGCTGGAGTGGCATATCCCTGTGGAACTACGTTTTTGCGGAAGAAAAAATTTTGGGTACGCGTTGCGTCTCGCTTCTGAGCCCTCTGCATGTTCTCATCTACCTGAGCGTTTGTCAGTTGTACAAAACCTAGGCAAATTCTGGAGTTATACCTTCGAAATAGGAATATAGAAATTTAATTTGAAAGCTAATATGGCCCTGGAAAGTAGAACGATGAACACTGCGAATGCAGCATTTTCAAAATCCGTCATTTGTACTTCCATGGTGCGAAACTCGACGCGCCAGCCCATGGAAGAGCCAGGAGGAGGGGGTTTAAGTCGGAGACTTTGCCAATTCGTGGAATGTATACTCTTCAAGAAGCTTTAATGTGACGCTAGGACTAATGAAATGTCAATCACCTCGAAATGGTCAACGCTAGAACTATCGTCTTGGTGAATAGTTTCAGAGAATATGATGAGTGGATCACGGATAAACAGATGTGCGATATGCTTTGAAAGCATTTCGTCGATACCTTCCGCTTGACTTCAAAAGACGCGCAAGAGAAACTGAAGCAAGACTACACACCATGACTGAGCAAGCGATCTTTAATAGCCTCATCATAGGGTACAACAGTGTCATTATACGCTGGCTTATTGGCGCATTCGGAAGAAATGTACAGGGAAACGTTGTCGTATCGGGACTTAGGAATGATATATCTGCTATTCTTCAACGGCTGAATGGCGTAAGCAAACCGACAGAACATAAAAATGGTGGCCCACCTCAAGTCCACGTTCTTCCCGTGTTCGGTCGTCCACACTCCCCACAATAACGTTCCAGCGACAGTCCACATCCGCAAGATACCCGCGCCAAATTGGGCTAGCTGCCGTGAGTGCTAGCTATGTAAAGACACAGGTGTTAGAACATATCCGAGAATCATCGGTGCCCATACCATAAGGGGGCCAATCGGAATCAGGGCATCGTACATCCGCCGTGCTCCGTTCACGCTACAACACTGGAATGTAAGCTGCAAACAACAGCAACCCCCGCCAAACCCCATTGCGTCCATGTATATGTGGTCCATCAAGGCTGCGCCATTCTTAGCTTCTGCAGAAGGGTAAGCAACCCTTCATGACCCGAAAAAGGATCTTACCGGAATCCTCTGGGTATAGGTCACGTTGCCACGGTATGGTAGGATCAACAAAAGGCCGTGGTGTTCTTTCATCCTTGAATATTGGGAGATTCGCAGCGACCTTGGATCCCCTTCGACTTCTTATGTTGGCAGTAAGGGTGCTGCTCGAGGAATAAGGTACAAGCAAGTGATATCACAAAGAATACTGACGAGAATCGTACGTGAGGGTGCGTGATCTCTTCAGGTAAAAATAGACTGTGACTGGACTTCGCATCTTTCGGGTCATAATGTGGTTCTGTGAACACGTCAACAGTACCCAATCGGGGGAATGATGTCAGAGTGAGCAGGATTTCGTTTTTCCTTAGATGATTTCGCGCCAGCGTGCGTCTTGTATTCCTTGACCTCAGCGACGTAGGACAAATGGAGTTGCGCAGGACGTACCTGTAGCGCATGTTTGTTTCCATTGAGAGGAGACCTGCAATCGAACCCGTATAAGGGGAGCCAGGAGTAGACTCCAGCATAAACCTCCCATACTCAGGGTGAAATTTGGCTACAGGTGTACTGGAGAAGACATGAGCAATGCGTTCAAGCAATGCATACTAGCACTTACGATGGAGAGGTGTCGTTAGAAAGTGTCCCGACAATTTTACCGAGTTCTTCCAGAGTTTCTGCTTGACGAAGGGAAACCTTTGCTTCCTTCTTTTCATCATCGACCACAACCACCATACACTCGACCTTACGAACAAATCCATGAATGCCAGTGCGAGTGAGCGCAGCGAATGGCATAGATTACCTCGTCACCCCACAAAAGCTCATCGCTAGTACGATCTTTCACCCTGTGCCAGGTGCGAAGGAATTGAATGATTCCATGGTTTCTGACATGATCTGCGTGATTCTTTGTCTCTTCCCAGGTAAGTGGTGTCCCGAGACAAAGCACACCCATCTTGCGCGAGTGATAGTAGCAGTGACAGCGCTTCGAGTTGTTAGCCGAATTTCAGCAGTATTCCTTCGTAGCGGTGAGTATGGATCGGCGACCGACCGTGGCAGCGATGGTGGATGGGTAGGAAAACACGTGCTTCTATGTAGAACAGCTGGGGGGGTCATACTGCGGTCGTAATAGTGCACATAACATTCAATATGGACTTCGGGACGGCCTATCGCCGGGCGTACCAAGATACCCAAAAAATATACGATGCTAATGCGCGACACGGTGCACCCCGAGGCCGTTATGACATCATCAGACGGCTACAATAGTATATGGGAACCAGGCAGATAAGTTACCGTCAACTCACCAGCATTGTTTGATAGTCGAGAGGGAACGATTGTCTTCCTTCGGGTCCACTACGCCAACCGAATACTATGACTTATGTAACCGATGACAAGAGGTACAAAGTCACGAAGCAGGGGAGGATGCCCATATGCAGCATGACTGGTCATGACCAATCACTTTGTTATGTAAAAAAAAAAACTGGGCAAGATTCACTTACATAATACATGTCAACTTAAGCAAATTCAGTCCAAGATTGGACAGATCCCATAGATAACCCCTCAACGAATATAGGTGTATGTGTTGGAAATATCCTATTAGTTCCAACACCTAGATTCATTCTGGAACTTTGCCTTTGATTGTGCACTTCATGTGTACAATAGAACTCCTCTCAAGAGGATTCTTTTCAAAACTCCAGTTGAACTATTCTTAGGAAAAGTCCCAGATATCACTTATTTCCACACCTTTGGCTGCAAAGCCTTTGTATGGGTTCCCAAAGAACAAAGAAAAGACAAATTGGAACCTCATGCAATCAAGATGATATTCTTAGGCTACAAGCCTAGCACAAAGGGATATTGCTTCTTACATGGTCAAAAGATCATTTTATCTCGAACTGCAAAATTTGTAGAAGACTCTTTTCCTTTCTGCTCTGGTCATTCTCAAAAATCCAATACCTTTGACTCTGATACCGAAGATGACCATGAATCATCTATTTCTGACTCTGAAAGCCTTCATTCACTTCCGGATCCTGATCAGATCCTACCGCTGACTCATCACCGGCAACCACCTCATCCATTAACTCCACCACAACCACAAAACCCACAGCAGAGAGCTGCAGACCAGTCTAGAGCTCATCAACAAAGAAGAGCACCTGCTGCTGCACCACCAGTTGACCCTCATCATCTTAGGCATCCTCATCAACCAGAATTTATTCAAGGTGACTCGCACAATGTTTGCAGAGCTCAACCTCCTGCTGATGACAGAGAACCTCGTCCTAAATGTTGATTTATACCAGTATCTTGTCCTGGAAACATTTATGGAGATAGACCTCCAGTCCAAATTGAATGAGATATTCAACAAAATCAGGGATCAAGCACAACAGTGGATTCATAATGCTGAGCAGCATGCTTGCACAATTCCAGAGAAGATATTTGGAGATATGCAGAAGAGCACAGACCTCCTTCTCTGAGGTTACCTCCTGCACTTATTCCTCCTGAAGTTCCTCATCAGTGGACTGAACATCCACAAGGAACTACACCTCCATCTCCTGGTTCTCCACTTACACCTATTCCAGATACTTCTGGCTCTCCAAAAGGAATGCCAGACCAACAACTGGAAATGCATCCTTTCGAGTTTGCACTTGCTGCTCGAATTAAAGAGTCTCCGGAACATTACAAAGATGTGCTAAAATTATCTCCCAACTTACAAAAGAAATGGTTTCGATGCAATGAAGGACAAATTAAAGTCTATTGAAGAAAGATAAGTATGGACCTTGGTGGATCCTCCTAGAGATCAGGAAACCTGTTAAGTGTCGATGGGTTTTCAGCTATCAAAAGTGATGGTTCGTTACAAAGCTCATCTTGTGGCAAAAGGCTTCACACAAGAATTCGGTATCAACTTTGAAGATACCTTCTCTCCAGTGGCTTGATTCGAAACAATTTGAATTCTACTTGCATTCACTGCCCAAAGAAATTGGGACACAGAAGCCCTGGATGTTAAAACTGCCTTTTTATATGGCAATCTCGATGAAGAAATATACATGGAACAACCAGAAGGTTTCAAAGTTTCAGGTCAAGAACACAAGGTCTATCAGTTGCTTAGAGCCCTTTATGGCTTAAAGCAAGCTGTGTTGGCATGGAATAAAGCCCTTCATCAATCTCTACTTCAAATGGGCTATATTCGTTCTAAAGTGGATGCTGGGATCTATATCCACACTTCCAAAGCTGGAATTGTCATTTTCCTCATCTATGTCAATGATGGACTCTTTCTAGGATCAGACAAACATCTTCTCAAAGCCAAGAAGGAACAATTCATGAAGAAATGGGAATCCTGAGACCTTGGTGAAGTCAAGGAATACCTTGGCATTCAAATTCACCAGGATAGATCAAGGAAAGAGATATATCTTGATCAAATTCCCTACATTAAAAAGGTCATCAAACAGTTTAATATGGAGACTGCTCGAAATGTTCACACTCCATTACCTTCAGGATATCAACCAGAAAAAGCACCATCAGATTATCAAGCCACCTCTTCTCTTTGGTCACAGTACCAGTCAATTATAGGGTCATTGCTTTATATGGCTCTTGGTACTCGTCCCGAAATTGCCTTTGCGGTTATTTGCATGTCTCAGTATATGGCAAATCCTACTGAAGATCACAAAAATAAAGCCTTGCATATAGTTCGCTATATTGCATCTACACCAAAATTGGCTTTATATTATTCAGGACTCGAATCTTGAATCTATGGTTTTGCAGATTCTGATTGGGCTGCAAATAAAGACACACGTCATTCAACCACCGGTTATGCCATGTTCCTTGGCACTTCCTTAATCTCTTGGTGCTCTCATAAACAGAAGATGATCGCACTTTCCTCCACTGAAGCCGAATATATGGCTTTATGCGATGCTGCCAGACAAATCAAATGGCTTTCTATGCTATTTGATGAACTCAAGTTGAAGACCGAGAAAACAATTCTCTACTGTGATAATATGGGAGCTTCGCTTTATAGCAGAGAATCCTGTATTGGACAGTCGTTCCAAACATATCAACGTTCAATGGCACTCCATTGTGCAATGTGTTCAAGATAGTTTGTTCAGTATTGAATATGTTCAAACTGACAAACAAAAAGCAGATGGTCTTACAAAATCATTAACATGGCAGACATTCGAAAACTAATCGCTTCGTCAATGGGTCCTGTTACCTTACCATTTTAGAGTGAGGGGGAGTGTTGGAAATATCCTATTAGTTCCAACACCTAGATTCATCTAGATTTACATGTGTATCAACACTGTTGTCTATCACATGACATCTCTTAGCAATCAGCTCCACAATGATGTCATCTATGACATCATATCATATGTCATATTCCATGACCTTCCATACTGTTCTTTACTATACAGAGTAGTAGTTTCCTTTTATGCTACTGGTCCGTGTGCTACCTACTCATGTATATAAACTCAGGGACTTTCTCCCTAGGTCCCTATCAAATTTTACATTCTGTTCTTCACTTGTCCACTCGACAACTGAGTCCCCTCAACTAACCTTTACTTTTAAAACACTACAAACGCTCTAACTAAAGGCAAGTGTTCGTGCCTTATTGCTCTTCGTTCTCCCGTTCCTCTGCGCAATAGTATGTAACTATGGTAAGGTCCCAACAAGCCGACCTGACCTGTCAGGTCCTTTTTCAGACCATTCAATGGTCTGAAAGAAAACGAGTATGAATGTGACGTCAGAACCTTAGATGGCAATCACGCTGTGGCGCGTTCCAGTTACACGTGACCTCGGTTGGGCAGGAGCCAAGTCTTGGGAATCACTGCTCTCTTCGCAAATGCTGCAGAGGTTCTTCCTCTGTATTAATTCTCGGCGGAAGAACTTCGCAGTGGAGAGTTATCGTCTCAGCCCAGCTTGAGATAGGACTCCATCGCCGGTATCTTGTATATACTAGATTTACTCCTATACAGCTTGACGGGGTGCAAATCGCGCTTGCACGACTTACATATTTATAATGACCTCTCCATAGCCGCCTCACAATGGTCGATAGCAGGTGGAAGTCGGGTATGTGGGTAACAGTCGGATCTGTCTTCTAGTAGAAGGCGGGCCATCCCTCAGTGGCTCAGTCCATCCATTCCCCCGACGGAGTGGCAGGAACCCACAAAGCCCTCGTAGCATGCAGGCGCCTGCAATTCAGAATTTCTAGTGACAGATATCTGGGTGCGTCAGGCACTAACTTTGCCAGCGTCTCTAGACAGTTCAGTATATACAATAACATTGGAACTACCGGCAGGTTGACCTCACGTTGTTTATTGGCTGTTCCCTGTCATTGTTGTCTTGTATGCAACAAAAACGCAACGCAGGTGGCGTCAGCTTTGGAACGTGAGTCGTCCTCCGAGTATTCTTCTAGTGATTGCCGGCACCTCAAGCGGTGGCATGACACAAGAAAATGGGGAGTGTTGATCCGTATTCTGCAAACGTCGACACGTTTTCCACTCGGTTTTGGAAGACCTGGAATTACTAAGATCGACAAAATGAAACCGGTTGTCTGCTGCTACATGTGCGTGGTCCTGGCGATCAAGACCTAAATTCCAATTCTACCTATGGCTCCGTAATGAACGCCAAAGGCTAGGCTCCAAACGGACAGGCTAACTCACTGTGGAAATTGCCCCTCTGACCTTCGCGGCATAGGCTCTGCGGAACGACTTGAATTGTGCAGGGCAGCTAGGGCACATCTGGAGTTTGAGGGTACGTTCGTCGTTATAAAGCCATTCTTTGGTAGACGTTCTTCGAATTGTAGACGGGTGTGGCCGAGTCAACAGTCTGCTACGACAGACTTTCACATACTTCTTCACAAGCCATTGGCGATGCTCGTTCCACGCGCATACATCCATATCTCCAGGGCACCCGGCTGGTGGGAACGATGCGGAATCGAACTTCAGCTCGCTAGCAATGACACCACATGCATGATGATACTCCAGCAGTCTGTAAAATGCAGCTGCCGGCAAGGTCTCCAACTCCTTGACGTATCCTCCCCGACCTGGCTGCCCTAAATCCCTAATCTTCAACGCTGCCCATGCTGCCTTTCTCGCAAGATCGCACCACCCATGTTCGCATGCGACTGCATACAAGGAGACGGTGTGTTCCTTCAGAAACTGGTCTGCGACCAGTTCCTTGGCACGGTCAGCGATTGTTGGGATCATGTTGTACTTGGCAACTGCAGCGAGGAACAGTTTAGCGTCATCGAAAGAAGAAAAAGGCGGGTTCGGATAAATTGCGCCTGGATAGACCAGCCTGAGTAGCGAGTCTATCGTCGTGATGTTTTCCGACACAGTAATGGTAGGGATAGATGTAGGGTCTGCATAAAATTCGAACTTAAGGCCTCCAGGAGCAAGCAAATCTTTGAAGACGGAAGATGTGAGTGAAAGCATGCATTTGAAGATTCGAAAGTCGACTTTATCAGAAGTTCGGATGATCACGTCGGCGTCAGGATTGTTGAATGGCTCTTTGGCTGTCAGGGGGTATGCAAGTTCAGATTCCATAGAGTTACCAGAGATGTGGTTGCGGTGGAGAGCGTGTTGAGCCACTCTGGATGCAGCTTTCAGTGCAAGGCGCGTTTGCAATGTATTGTTTACGTACATAATTCAATAGCATCAGTCACCAGCAAAGCAACGAGTGTTCTAAGACGTGACATTATGAGTTCCTACCTCAGGACTGCCACGATGGAAGACTCGGCAATATTGACAAAAAGCCCCAATCATCAGTCCTGAAGCTATCAAAGGCGCGAAATTGAGAGGTTGGAGGGGTAGCTACCCGCGGTCAACTCATCAGTACATGTTATAAGCCGTCTGCGTGGTGTCTTCGAATCTCTCGACGCGTGGGCCCTTTTGGGCAAACTACCCCTGTCAATCTCCATCAGCACGTGATGTGATTGATCACTGGATTACGTTACATAAGCATCTGTAAACATTTTCCAGCGATGTCCGACGGCGTCGATTTGTTGGGCGAACACGAAAACCAGGCGTCGACGTCGCAATCAGGGCTTGAAAACAGGCTAAATGGACACTCGCATTCAGGAATTACGCTCGTATTGCCTTCTCTCAAAGCGCTCAAGGCTGCAAAGGCTGGAAAGAAATCCAACCTCAAAAGCATCCCTCCGAATCAGGATGGAGACGTCAAGAAAGCTCCAAGACCAGTCAAGTTGAAACCACTCAGGGAAGTCCTCAGTAAACTCATTGTGCAAATAAAGAAGTGAGTCCATGAACTGTGCGTTCAACGTAGGAGACAGAACTGACATCCGCCCAGAAAAGATGATTATGCTTTCTTCATTCATCCGGTGGATCCTGACAAGGTGCCTGGTTATACGGATGTGATAAAAAATCCCATGGATTTTGGCACGATGACCACCAAGGTTGAACGCGGAAAGTATCGCTCCCTCGAAGAGTTCTCTGTGAGTCCCCACTTTTCGCCCGTCCCACGAGCAACTCCAAGTTTCCCATCTACATGTGTGGGTATTGGCGACCGTCGTCGTCTTTCCGGAACGCAGTCAACATTGCTCACATAGTACCATCATCGCTTCCGACCTGATGCTGACAACCATCCGCTTTCCTAGACTGACTTCCGCCTAGTCGTCAATAATGCTAAGATATTCAATGCTCCCGGTTCGATATATTACAACGAAGCAGAGCGTATCGAGTCCTGGGGTCTAGAACACATATCCAAAGCTTCCGCACACGTCATCGAGTATGAAACAAACTGGAACGTCGAAATCGAGAACGACGACGACGGCACTCCCGTCAATGTCGACGAAGAAGACACTTCTACATTGCGAGATGTGGACGGGAGTCTTCCCGCTGGCTCTCCCGCTCCGTCGACTACCCCGGGTCCTACTAGGAGAGGTCGCGGTTCGAAGAAGAACGCACCCCCAACTATGTCGGAAAGTTTGGATGCAGAGGGTCGTTTGCCGGGGTCCAAGGATGGCGTTGGTGCATTCCCCCCTGGTTCTGATTGGGCCGAGATGATGGTTGCCCTCAAGATCAAAGGTACCGTCGTTAATACGTTCTAGCTATCTCCACTCACCCTTTGTCTAGGCAAGCGATACAAGACCAAGAAAGAAAGGTTACGATTCGAGAAAGAAGGTCCCCCATACTACCCTGATGGCAGCCTCGCCTATGCTGAAAGTGAGCTAAACCCTACCATTACTTGTCAACGACATTTACGCTGACCATCGCCTAGTGGAGGACCCCTTTTCAGTCCTCAACGTCTTTGTACCTGACCCTCCCTCTCGACCACAGCTATCCGCTCTATACCCGCCCTTTCCTACGGAAGGTACTTCCTACACGCCACAAGCCATACAACTACCCTCAGACCATCCATTTCCCCATCTTACCACCGTCGACACCCGACACACCTATTTGCCGGGCACCAAGTTGACCGCACAAACTGTCCGCCCTATAAACAAACGGAAGCATTGGACGATCGTACGCCACTCAGCCACCCGATCTCGACTCAAAGACACAGACCAAGAGGAACTCACGGCATCAGCCTCGAAAACCTCTCATGAAGCGTTGCCAGCCGACTGGGGTACGTTTGCGGAGCTTCTCGGTAGGCTGGCTGTAGATCCGGCTTCACGTGCCAATACGTGTGCGAGCGAGCAGAATTTACTTGCGGCACTCCGAAGTAGCATGTCGTCTAGACAGATTCCGCACTCGTCCCCTCCATCATCGTCACCGTGGCCGTCAACGGATACATCTATCCCTCAAACGGAGTCCGACTTTTGGACGGATGCAACCGTTAGAAACGGATGGGATTATTTGCTAGACGTGGTATATGGTGGTGTCGACGGGTTCGCTTATGTACGCAGCCTCGCAGAATTCCTGCGTCGTCCTCCTGAAGTTGAGGTATGTCTTGACGCTTCCTGCCTGCTTTTCAGTCTCCTGACGCAGCTCTGCTAATACTTCTTACCTGTATGCTAACGATATGGCTGTGCATGCCATGTATCTTGCTTTTTATCCGACGCATGAATCTTCGACGTTCCAGATCCCGCCTGATCCAGACATACCTCTTGGCGTCCCCGTCGCACGATACGTCGAGACACACCTCGTCGACTCTGTTACGCGCGGAAGACATTCCTTCCTTCGTGACATCTTCCGGCAAACAGAAGGCGCTGCTCCTTCGATCTCCGATGTGCTGGGACCTGAATCTCACGTGCCTCAGCCAAAACTCGAGCCCGAACTGGGGCCCACGAATTCGACATTGCTTTCCTCACCTGAGCTGCCACTCCATTCTAACCTTGCGCACGCACTCGCCTTCCCACAAGGGTCCTCTCCGGCTCTCGCCCGTATCCTCATACTCCCAATTGCCTCCTCGATACTCGCCATGCTCCGCGCACCGCTTGATATGGCAGCGCTGCTTCGGAGCCCTGATGAATTAGCACGTGTATCAGTACTGGAACCTACTGATATCGAAAATGGCGTTGGTGTGGGTGACGATACGGGCGTGACGGGGAGTATTAAAAATACTCCAAAATCAACGTGTGGGACGATCCCCGATAGAATGGTCGATGTTGAGAGCGACAGGGAAGGTGATGGGAACAGGAACCTGGATGTGGGCTTGGACACGAACATGACTGTGGCAGACTCCCAACCCCTACCCCAAGCGCAAACGCCAATGCATGCACTTGATCCCGTCGCTAACGAACGGGAAGCGATTGGGCATGCATTGATTTGGTCTGCCCAAGCACTCGAGAGGTTACAACACAAGCGGAAACGCACAGAGGAGGACCCAGATCCAGTTAAAAAGGAAGAAGGAAGCGAAGTGATGCTCAGCTCACCGATGGATGTGGACTCTGAGCCCCCCGAGGAGGACGCCAAGGACGTCTCAGACAATGATGCTCTCGAAGAACCACTCACAAAACGGATTCGCCTCAATCTGCTTGCCCTCGCCAAACGAGCACCGCTAGACAAGATCGCGCCTCTCCCTGCGCAGTTTGTTCCAGAAGGTATACGGGCGATGGTTCCTACTACCTAATTATCTCCGCAATCTTCCTCGTGCTTTATTTTTTTTCGATGCCGTCGCATCCACCATACGGAATCTCTGACTTCCGATCCGGCCTTATGGGTTCATTCTACGTACCTCATACACGCTTAGACACGAGTTGACTAGAGATATATAACATATAGTATAATAGATATCCTAACTTACCCTATCATTACACTGTACACACTGTACTGAAGTATCTATTCATCGCAGACTTGTACGTTTGGAACTGATGGCCCCTCTCTGACCGGACATCGCCAATCGAATCGATAGTCGCGAGATAGGCTCAAAACAACTCGGAATGAGCTATAGATACAATTCATATTCCCTTCTTGTTGATTCTACTCGGTAGACGCTCTGTGAGGCCATGGACATCATTGCAAAAAATCCGGAAACGAATATCGATAAGATCAATCTTCTCAGTGAGCAATCCAACCCGCATTCGTAGCCTATCAGTAACCTCACGGGCCCGATCAACACCAGCGCTGAGCGCTTTCGTGCCCATTCTCGACGAAAGGCGAGCAGAAATCGAGAAGATCGAGAAGAAGACTTTCAAGTATGGCCAGCGACACAGACACAACGTGAGCCCAAGTTCTGTATCCTGCCGCTGCCAGGAACGCTCTAAGCTGCGACCAACCTAGTTGGATGTATATTACCCCGACCAGCCGGCTCTAACTCCAAACGCAAAAGTCCCCGTGCTATTCTTCGTCTACGGTGGTGGCTACAACACTGGCTCCAGGCAATTTCCACCTCCATACGAGATGGGGTACCTTGCCCTCGGCTCGTTTTTCGCCCAGCGCGGCTTCATCACCGTCATACCAGACTACCGACTCGTCCCGGAAGCCCGCTTTCCTGCAGCTTCACAGGACATCCGCGATGCGATCATATGGGTCAAAGACAACGCCGAGACAATTAGATCTTCTTCGACCGGCTCGACTCAGGAGCTCGATCCAGAGCACATCTTCGTGATGGGCCATTCGGCGGGCGCAGCACATGTCAAGGTGATGACGATGTACGAGGAACTGCGCAAGACACTCCCGCCGCTCCGGGGTGTGATATGGAACGCAGGGCCCTGGTTCTTCGACGTGCGAGGAGAATCATTTCATACGAGTGGACCGGTGAGATTTTATTTCGGGACTCCAGAGCAGCAGCGCGAGCGTGAACCACGAACCCTATGGAACAATTTGACGGACGAAGAGATCCAGGCGCACCCAGAAATTTTGTTGGTCCAGGCGGAGAGGGAGCCTGATTGGCTGCAAGTTACTGGATTAGAAATCATGAAGGATCTAAAGAGGCGGCTGGGGAGGGAACCAAAGAGAATTATTGGCGTTGGACACAATCATGTTAGTCCAAACTGGGCTCTTTGCTCGGGACAAGGAGAACAGTGGGGGCATGAAGTTACGGAGTGGATGAAGGAGAGAATCGTCGCGAGCACTGGCTCCTGACAGACTCTGCTCGGAACGATCGAGGCTCTGTTGGAGATCTGCTTATAGACAAATGCAACCACATAATACAACTCAATTACTGCCACCAGGCAGCTGATGTAACGTTGAAGGTTGCCCAGCTTCATCTTCCAACCTACGGGAGCACATCGAACGGTGTCAGGCTGGACGTTGCATGTCTGTTCCTCCCCGCTGAGAATGTTCGGTGTGCCGTGAGTCCCTCAAGTACTATTGGGACCTGGTTGACAGACATTGTCGGTTTGAATGAGTGTCTGCATGATCCAATTCTTTTAGGTATACTAGGAACAAATGCCTAACCAGCCCTACGTATTACCAGTGCGTGCATATGTCGAACTCTCGCATACCCGGTCAACTCAAGATCTCATTGCAATGCCACCCTCCTACCGACTTGCAAGTGCTGCAAGTAATACATCTGTATCCACCTGTGCAGCTATAGAGAACCCTCATCAGCACTACGTTCACACCGCACACAACCTACACCATTCTCTCCGTCAGAAATGAAGGACTATTTACTCACCCTTCAACACCATCCTCACAAACGTCCATGCCAACTCTGCATCTTCTCTCTCAAGTCTCCTCAATGCCTCCCTTCCCAGCCACCACACCACTGCTTCTCGCTCCACGGCGACCCTCGCGTTCCTTGGTAATCCGGACAATCCTGAGAGTTCTCCCGCTAAGGCGCCCGACACCATCGACTCCCCAATGATGCGCGTGTGGGATCCGAAGCGGTATGATGCACGGAGAACGCCTGATTGGATGATGTACAGACCGTCTGGAGTGTCGCCAACGTCCCAGAGGACATGTCCGGAAGGGAGCGAGAGACGAGTGAAGTAAGTGGATAGGCGAACAAGCACATCGCGATCGATTTCCTCATATGATTGGAAGGCCTTTAGGAGCGTGTTGAGTGGCTCTGGCGCAATGCCGCTCGAGAAAGGCTCTGTGCGGGACAGATACAAGCCCGCTCTTCAACGAAGATAGCGAGAACGGGTGCGTCAAGATAACTCACCGCCAACAATCGTTCGATTTCCCGCATCACGCAAATAGCGTTCTCTAGGCGATCCTACTAGTGCCTCATGGAATCCAACCCCCTCCCCTTGTCGTTCAGGCAACGCTACGATACCCATTGCCCCGTCATACTCCCAACACCCCGGGAATCGGAGAAATCAACTTACCGACAGGCACACTTCCCGCTCTTTGCAACCTGAACCACGCCCCCAAATACTCATTCTCCGTCCCTATCCGTTGTAATCGGGTCGGTCCCGTCTCAGTCAAAGGAAGAACAAGAACAGCACAACGGGACTACTCACATTCCAACGCATCATTTAAGGACTCAAAAACCTCCACTCCTTGCTCCTCCAAAATCCCCGAATTCGCCAGTGCCTTCCCCACGCCCAACTCACTCTCCACACCGCAAAATACCAGCACGACACCCTTCGCAGCAAGCAACCTTTGTACCCTTACGAACGCCTCCCCAGCGGACATATCCACACCAGGTACGAGTGTCAAGTCAACGATGATGAACCGTACAGGGTTGGTTCGCCAGTCCGGATCCTCGACAATACTCCGTAACTTTTCCTCGACGCGCATGATCGTTCCAAAGAAAAGGAAACCTTGTAGTTGCATAATACGTGTTTGCTTCGAGACGTCGTGGATGTAGGCCCTGTGTGCAGCTGGACGGCGGACAGTGGACATGGCTGCATTGCCAGGGTAGCACGCTCGAATACTCCGCCGCCGTGAGTTCTGTACGACAAAGAAAACACCTTTGCAAAGGAATGAATGATACATGCCGGGATCATAGTTAAATGAAAAGAAAACTCACAACTGACAATTATCCCGAAAAGCACGCCAATCACGAAATCCCACACAGTCATCGTCACCATGATGCTCACGATAGTCACATACTCCGTCCTGCAATGAATTCGGTGTCAACATCACCCGTTCCCTCTCCACGTTGCGGAAAAGGAAAGAACATGTCGCCACGCACCAACTCACGCGATACCTTGTATCCCACAATGCCTCCTTGACAAGGTCAATTCCAAGCGCAAAAATTAATGCACCGACGACGACGACCGCTATCACAGACAAGTGAACGGACGCTTTAGACGAGATTCAAGAACTCAAGTGAGGTGACGACGTACGGATGTATGCAACCGGTGCCGTGCCGACCATCAGGATGAGAAGGGTCACGAGAGCAAGCATTAACCCTGCGATTCTGTTCCCTCCTCCAACGCGGTAGAACCTATCGAACGACAAGTTTCGTGTGAGTGTCCAATACAGAAAAATGCAGAGAACAATTACATCAACGTATTGACGTAGACAAGATAATTGGGCCTACAGATGGCGCGAACTCGTAAGAATGACCTGGCAACATCGCACGACGGAGAAGGAGACGAGCATACACAGAACCCAGAAATCCAGAAATCAAATTCGACAATCCATGTCCGACGAGTTCCTTGTTCGTGTCGATGTCTTGATTCAACGAAACAGCTACGCATGATTCCACCACCGACCCAATCGCCATCATTATATCAGCGACTTATCATGGAACAACCAGACCATAAATTAGGCTCACACAAGGCGGGGACGTTGAGGGGTGGATGCAAAATATTAAAGAACAACCTATCCCGAGAAAACCCTTCTGGTCCTATTCATCTGAAGTGTATGATATAACACTTACAGTGCAAACTGCGTCGGCAACGTATTCCACATCGGCGTCCACTTAATCAAACCGAGGTCTCCAGGCACAACAAAATCAATAACTCGAGAAATATACATCGTTATGACGAGAGACGGACTCACCGATATAGGTATAGAACTCATACCAACCTTCGGACCCAGTCGTTCCTGCAGAATCGAACAGCCATCCGTCCCTTCGTAACCTGTCTAGATCGAGACCTGCAGCGATAACTATCACATAAAACACCACTGGTATCACCAAGAAATCTATTGTCCGAAAGAAAGTTTGGGTATGAACAGTATGAATAGCCTAACAGCCGGGAAGAAAAAAAGCTGTACTTACAGATTGGAAACACGAGTTGATGCTTCCACCGGGATGTAATAATCCTCATCAGGATAGCTAGGGCCAGAGGCGGCATCCACTGTCCAAGTGCATGTGTGTTCGTCGTTAAATATTGGAGGGTGTCCCACGTAGGTGGATCGAGAGCATCGGAGGGCAGACGGGTGCTAACTGTCAATCTAACAGATCGATGGATGTGGCAAAATTAGATAGATCCGAAAATATAAGAGCCCCGGTCAATCCGAATTTTGCTCACCCTGTCAAAATAAGGAACACGCCAACTCCACCTATGCACCCGACGAGGATATGTCTCGGAAAGAATCCGATGATGACACCGAGACGCAGGTATCCCAGTAGGAGGAACGTCAGTCCTGCACATCATCAGCGCCAATTCTTGGTACACAGGCTCAACCATCGAGACAAGATGAAGTGCGTTATAGTTTGACAAATTTACTTACCCGTCAAAACGGAGGACAAGGCATATGCAACGAGCGTTGTCGCGATTACTTCACGCACGTGCTCTTTTCCGATCTCTCTCTCTATCGTCGACGCAATGATATGGAAGAACGGCTGCCCTCATAGGAAATTTGGACAATCGGAAGCACAGCATTCGGACGTCGGAAGCGGGATCAGATTGGAAACTTCGAGAAGGTTATGGACATACGACTGTCTCGATCATCATACTCCCATTCGCACCTGCGAACTGACTCCCGCCGAACGAGTAGATGAATTGGGAAATCACTGTTCTAGAAATGACAGTCAGTTTCGGGTGTCAAGCCATCCCCTAAATTTAGTGCCCATATTCTCGAGCAAGCAAAAGTGGTGGCGCTGGGATTCGAGTCGGGTGGTGGTGTCGGCGATACTATACCATCAACACTATCAAAGGAAAGTTCGTACTCACGAGACGAAAAATAGCGATACGCCCATTCCACCCAAGCTAGCGAAAACACCAGAAGCAGGAAACATTATCATTCCGTCTGTAAAAATATCCATGAAGAGGATGGGAAGGACGTGGAAAGAATGCCTCACAAGAGAGACCATCCAGAATGTTCAAAAGGCCACCAAAAATGACTGCAGGAACAGAGGAAATGGCTATTTTTGCCACATCGCAAATATCGACGTCGATGTCAAATGCGCGACGCAGTCTGGATCCCAAACCCGTGAAAATAGTTTTCTTGGGAGGACCCAGACTGGAGGAGGGATCGCGATGGGCGATGACGGTGTGCCGAGGCAACAAGGGCGCTGTTTCAGATAGCGTACCGGGTAGTGCTCCTTCTTGCTCTTGTATTGGGAAAATACCACTTTCCCGAGCAGCGATTTCGTCCCTTTCTCTATAGCGAGGCTTGTCAGGGAGGGATCCGCCAGTTGTGAAAGATGACGATCGCGAGTGTTCGACAATCGATGGCATACTCCCATCATTAGGCGTTGTCAGTTTTCGAGTGAGTAGGAAAGACAGGCCCGATGGTGTGAATAAGGGAGATCCAAATGATGTATCGTCGTGTGAGGTGGTAGAGAGCATCTTTTGTGATGTCCCCGTCTCTTGTGACGACTCCACAGCAGGAGAAAGAGCAGAGAAATCTGAGGCAGAGGCAGAGGCAGAAGCAATATCTAAGGACGCAATTTGCGGATGGGAAATGAAGTCTAGATCTCCGGCAGGCCCATCTCCATCTTGACCATCGTAGGGAAGAAAAGCCACCGATTCAACGGGAGAAGACCGAGGAACGGGGTGAGCGTGATCAGAATCGAAGTCTCGCACTGGTGCACGTTGTCCCTGTGGACCATGATCGGACGTAAATGGCGGTTCCTGGAGGACGAACGATCGCCCGGGGGAAGGAAAAGGCAAATTGGACAACTGGACGGTATTCTCGCGTATGTCACCAGACACACGTGGGTGAGTGAGGATGCGAAGAGGTGTAGAGTAGTTTCGTCGTTGAAGAAGTCTGTTACGCAATCAGCCTATGGTACTGAGTGGAAGGACTGAATGAAGCGTAATGAGGGGTCACCGGTTCAACTACAATTTCAAAGCAGGAAAAATGACATACCCTGCTCGGTGGAGATATCCCTCGTCTAGAGGCAATGAAAACAAAGAAGGCGACAGCATGGTGATACGTCTAGGTGTTGCGTTCTATTTGATCCCGGGTTGCGGCTAGACCGTCGTGCAAGCGGTCGAGACCCGGGGTGCTCATTTGGGCTTCTGGTGAGATCATCGATGACGATCGCGTGCTTCTACCGACGACATTCTGGCGAGAGTTGGGGTTGTACATGAGTGATTTCGCGCCGCAGTTGTGTTATGCTTCATCCCTCATTTCGTTGCCGATATCTGCCGCCGTGGAGGGTCCGATATATGTATTGGGCTTATCGAGCGACGAGATGACAGGCCCATCAATTTAAAATCACATGCTTATGCCCATGAAGGCATTTACTGCGAGCCACAGGACTCCAGCACGAAAGTGGTCAGCCAGAAGGAAATCAGCGCCTCTAAGGCAACCGCAAGAGGTCAGGAGACGCTTCAAACCACAGATGCTATTCTGTGCGGAAAGCCGGGCAATTGCTCTTCCGTACGGCCAAAATTAGGAAGTCGAAATCTTCAGGCAGCCAGACGGACGTGCAGCACATATTTCGAAGTTACGTTCGACAGGAGGATACCAGCCACTGCCGTAATGCAGTTCGAAGGTCACGTGACGTCGGTTGGTCGTAGGTCACGTGGTGACGCCATTCAAAAGTCACACGGTCCATCGTCCACCGAGAGTTGTTGGAGGGCAACGCCGAGAAACGAGAGATCAAGATGGAATTTTATAAGCTCGATGTCTACGGTTCACCTTCCTCGCGTCTTTCTTTTCAGAGTTCTAACGATAGCCGCGTGCAGGTAAAGGTTCGTTTTATACGCCACGTAGTGATACTATGATTGGTTCACTCGTCATCGTTTTCCCCACTCCGCACGATGGGGGCGAAGTCGTCCTTCGCAAAAACGATCACGAGTGGGTGGGGGATTTCAATTGTCAAATAAAAATAAAAAGATTATTAGCATCGATGTCCGAATCCTCTCAGCAGCCATGCGTTGGCTACGTTTCGTTTTTCTCTGGTGTTGAGCACGAAGTTCATGTAGTCACATCTGGCCATCGTGTCACCCTGACCTACAATTCGTACTTCAGTCAGGGAGACCGATGCACCTCCTCTTACCCTGTCCACATCATCACCGATCAGACACTGGCAGAGGCCGCCCACGAGCTCACGACTAATAATCGCTTGCTACCTAGCGGGGGATATCTTGGCATAGGCCTCTGTCGCCAGAATCCGGTCACGGACTCCGGGCACAGATATCACAGGTTTCCGCAATTATCTGAAAAGCCCAGATGTTGCACTTGGCTGTGTTTTATCCGCTTTCGGCGTGTCCTGGAACTGCCCGTGTGTTTTTATCACCGTGTACGTTTCAGAGTACCTGCACAAACGCGTTGTTAGCCTTTCGAAATGGGGGCAAGTGTCGGAGGACGCTGTTTAAACCATCATGCAACAGTCCGGCGCCGAGGTGGTGGAGTACATGAACACTTTTGAAGACTCCAAGGCGCCTTATCATAACTCCGACGACTCACCCAAGCATCCCGTCGAGGTAACGAACCTCTCTGGCAGCTGTTCTAGCAAGTGTCTGTACATTACACATGGCAACGAGCCAACGATTGTTACCCTGTATGTGAATCTGTGTATCGTTGTCAATCTTCCTGCCCCTGGAAGCTGCTCTATCCACAGACTCCTGTAGTAGGTCCTTCAGCAGAGCAACTTTCATCGTTACCCATGCATCACCTCTCGGGACCAACGTGACTTTTGGTATATTACACAAGCACCACTCAGGTATACCTGTCATGAAGTAATCTGTAAGGACACAGCTACCACCAGCCGTAATTGCGATGTGCCATTGAAGCGTCACTAATGCCACCACTAGTGGTGGCAAGTGCATATTCGGCGGGTTGGTGGGTCTGAGAGGTTGGCCTCCGCAAGTCACAGGAGATTATGCTTAGAATTTGGGGTGAGCACCCTAAGTAGTCGTATAAACAACCAGCGGCAAGTACGCGGAGCGGCATGATGGGTTAGCAAGGCGATACTGTATTAGTGGTGCTCAAAATAAACTGAGTTGGAGTGATTTTGGTGCTAAACCCTAGCTGAGTTGGCTGAGTTCGGCACTGAACCCTAGCAGAAACTTCAGCCGCGACTTTGACAAATTTCAAGTTCCGATTTTTTAAACCTCCGCTCACTTTGCGTTTTTGGAGTGCTGTGCTACACAGCATGACATCATGTCTTTTTATATTCAACATCTAAGTTCGAACATTCACTCACGAGTGATATTTGTAGGGGGCAGCTCGGATATGGTATTAGATATGAGTAGATAACACTGTCCTCCTTCTGCCACAATGGTCCATAAGTCTGCTCATCAAGAGACCCTAGAGATCCTGGGTGATGCAGCAGTCAGAGTCGCCAAAATGCAGTTGCAGCAGCTAGGGACTTACATGGAGGCCAATGACAATGACTCTGATTCTAGCATGTCAGATGGCGACTGGACAGATGTCTTGTCCGAACCCTTGTCCCTGATGATCTTATCTCCAATTTCATCCATGTCCACCTCATCATCCTCGTCCCTCAGCTCACTCCATTCTGTGAAGAGGATAACTGCTCCATATACAGTGGCACTGCAGACCATTTGGGCGCTCTATGATGAGGTCCACATGGCATGAATCTTCGAGTGACCAGGCATACCAATGATGCATGCATCTCAACTGCCACTCCTTGATCATTTTGCTATCCACCGACCACTCTTGTTCCGGAAAAAATTGCGCGTTGATCCTGTGATATTCAATGACATTTTAGACCAAATTAGTGACCACTACATATTTTTGAACAAGTCAAACAACAAACAATTACCTGTGGCCGTTCAACTCGCAATTTTCCTTTTCTGCATGGGGCACTACGGTAATGCATCTTCACCTGAGGATGCTGCCCAGTGGGCAGGCGTTAGTGTTGGAACAGTCATCAATTGTACTCACTGGGTAATGGCAGCACTGCTGGACAAGCATGACAACTTCATTTATGTGCCAGATGTGTGATCCCCAGAACTGAGGCATGCATGAGAATTTGCGGAGTCACGAACTTGCTGGTCTTGGAGAAATGGAGTTTTTGCTGCAGATGGAATGACTGTTAACCTTTATGCATGACCAAAGTCATTCACTGACAGCTACTACGACTACAAATCAAATTTCTCACTAAACTGTCAGGTAGGTGAGTATGATGTCATGCAGAAACAGACAACTTACGGGCATGCAGGTTGTAATAATGCCGCACAACTTGGCCATTGTTGATTATGTGCTGGGGAATCCAGGGAGTGTCCATGATGTGTATGCATTTCAGGGAATGCGGATCTTCAAGGATCCAATCAGTGTTATGCCACACAGACACTGGATTTGGGCTGATACAGCATATCCCTCGGAGAAGTGGTGTGTTGTGCTGTTTAAAAAGCCACGAGGGGGGAACTTGACAAAGCATCAGAACACATATAATTGTTATGTTTCAAAGGTATGTACTTACCAAGTGTTCCATGGCACATCCTTGACAATTCAGAAGATTCGAGTCAGGGTAGAGCATGCATTTGTGGCCTTGAAAGGCCGGTTTCAGTCACTGAGAGAACTCCGTATCAAAATTGGTAACAAACCGGGGAATATGGATCTGGCTGTGTACTGGATAACATGTTGCTTTATCCTGCACAATATGGTTGTGCAATTTGAAGAAAGGCGCTGTGAAGAGTTGGGGCAAGGGATGATGGATTGGGCAATGAGGGAAGGGGAGCCTGACAAAGGGAATGACAATGATATGCTGCTGGCCCTAGAACCAGGATCAGTAGGACAACAATTCCACGCGCACTTAATGGAGAGGTTGATCGTGGAGAGAGGGATACAAATCTGAATACATTTTGCATTTTGTAAAAAAAACAAAGGGTGACAGTGACAACTTGGACAAATGGATAAAACATACTTGTTTTTCCTACAAGCGACATCAGGTAAGGGATGGAGGAAGATCTGCAGGAGTAATTATCGATGACATAGGAGTAGCAGAGGATGATGCTTGGCCACCAGCAGTGAGGGCCTTCTGAGCCTCGATCTCTGCAAGCTTGAGCTTGAGCTTGAGGACCTTGGATTCCCTAGAAAATGCCTCTGCATCCAGCTTGCAGAGCTGGATGTCATGGTTCCGCATCTCCAGTATGCAATGGTGGATCTTGTCAGCTTCACTACATTCGCACTGATGCTCACACTCATTGTGTTCAATCTCCTTCATACGCATGTGCATGTTATATTTTGTGATGTGACATTCATTCTTGAGAAGAGCGATCTGGTATTCTCGGTCAGAAGTATCTCCTGAAAGTCCTTGCAACTTCTCTGCTAGCATGACCTCAAGCTTGGAGACAGATCTTGCATTTCCTGAGCTTCCCCCTGACACCACAGAACCAGGACTGTGGCCATGACTCTTAGTGATGATAGACAGTGGCAACGACGTTGATGTGACCATTGAAGTCGATGATGGGACGTGCTTGGGGTATGGGGAAGAGCAGAACGTACTGTGATTTTCCCAGGATGGTGTCTTGTGCTTCATAGCAGGAGGATTAGGTTGCTGATTATGAAAGTCACTTGGGCCACTGAAAGACTAGATTGTTCATGCTAGTTTTTGTACAGTGTGACCACTTAGGAGATATCAGTAACTTGCCTTAGCAAATGTTACGCTTCCGTCAGGGGTCTTTCCTTTTTAGACTTCTAGCAGTCACGTGTGTCACGTGCCTCGTTGCGTCCCTCGTAATCGTCGCTGTCCTGGGAGTTCGAATGCTCCAGGGACACCTCGGATCTCCGGTTGTCCAGGTATTTCCAATACCTGTCAAGACTCAGGTACTTGATCTGTAGGTGCTGGACAGCCTAGCTGATGGACGACATGTTTCTTTCGTGTTCCGTTTGACTCACGTATATTGCCCAAATGTTGTATTATAGTTCCGGTGTCTGGCTCCTCGCTGCACTTTGATCGCGCAGCCGGTATAGCCTTTGTTTCCTTCCCTACCCCCATCTCTGACACCGGATGACTCTTATTTATTTCAGTGATCAGTTTGTTGATTACTGCAGATACGTGTCGCAACACGTCGCTTGCGACTGGTACAGTACTCTTACTTAGGGGTATATAAACCCACGTACTTTACCATGTATCCTCAGTTTTTTGATAGCTTGCAACTGAGCTAATTACTTTGCTTTGATCCTTGTCTTCTCTCCGTGCGGACAACCTTTGGGACTCGCCAGTAGACAAGACCTTTGTCGGATCTTTGCAATAACTCAGCCATAGGGGTTATGACAAGTTCGGCCCGTAGTCTCCCCCTCGTGCGCTTCGTGCCTATTCCATTTGAAGAAGTCACCACGCTCGGGCATAACAAAATCGAAAAACTCAACACAGCTTTTAGGGACTCGTTGACCTCTTCGCGAAAGTCTACTCGTCCCTGGTTACTGAACTTCAACAAACCACTTATCCTTAAAGCAAGGCTCGTTGATCTCCCTACGTGTAAAGATTGACTCGCCTTCTGTTCCTCGAACAACATCGAGAAACACCCCTCTACCCTAAATCAAATTCACCGCTCTACAGGCAGCCACTAGGCTTTAATAGATCGCCTCCCTAGAGTCAGCGCTTGTCCCTCCCTATGCGTAAAGGAACCCGCACACCATCAATACTCTCACGCTGACAGGTTTCTTTCGAGAAATAAATCCTCCCTCAGCCTTCGTTATCACTTCTCGTGAAAGTGTCTAATCCCCAGAAGTTGAGACCTCCAGTCCCTCCTCGCAATAACCCATTAGGACTTGGAAGGAACCCGCCTTTACCCCCAATCCCGCTAGGAAGACTTGGGCCGTCAGCCACAGCAAGTAATCCTAGGTTATCTTATCTATCCCATTTTAGGGAATCGGAGATTGCGCTTAGTTCAGAAGAAGAAGACAATCAGAAGTCCGAGACTTCTTTCGGATCAGTCCTCAAGGAAGAACAAGAAGCACACAAATCACCCATTATGTCCATGACAATCGGTCACGGAGAATCAGCCCCTGAGATGCCGCTGAAGGTATACTCTGAAGAGGAGCTGAAGGAGAGGTTGGAAAGACAGATGCACTCTTTGGCAGAAGACTGGCGCAAGATTGCCGGTACAGGTCAGTCGAGTGATCCCTTCCCAACAGGAACGCCTACAGACTCAGCTCTACGAGCTTGGTACGCCCAAAATTTCAGAAAGGTAATTCCCCCAGAGGGCCCCATTGGTGGGTCCAGTAAGGGTAAGGCCTCTGCCGATCCGGACGACTCGTATGATGTCCGCCCACCCAATGGAGGAAGGGAATTTAATGTCGGGCGTCCCGGAGAATACGACGGAAGCCACAATGGGCTTCAGACTTGGATTACCCAAGTGGAGGGCTACCTCGATCTTAACAAGCACGTGTACAACACAGAGTCGCTCAAGATCTCTTTCGCCCTCATGTACATGACAAAGGGAGCGGCCGTGTCATTTGCCGAGAACTATCAAAACGAGAACAAACTTTTAGATGGTACCATCTGGTACTCCGACACCTTCCAGAGGTTCGTAGAACGTCTTAAAGCCACATTCAAGTCCGGCGATCAGACAGCGCTCGCAATCCTTCGCCTGTCCGACATATCACAAGGCAAAAGGGAACTCGAGGCTTATATTGCAGAGTTCACGGGGCTCATTAACAAGGCCCAGCTGAAAGAAGAATCACGAGAAGCAGGGATCTTCTTCGGGAAGGGACTCAACAAGGAATATCGCGAATGGGTTCTAAATTCAGGGCGCACGCCTTCCACAGTCATTGAGTGGATCCAGTGCACGGGAGAAGCCAGAACCGCTATCGCCACCAAACATATCCTTGAAGGAAAGGAGTCCCAGTACAAGCGAAAGTTCATTCACTATCGCGGTAATTCCCGAGATCCTGATGCAATGGACGTTGACAAAAGAAGGTGAAACGTACGCCAATCAAATGATAACGTTACCTGCTTCG